GTTTTTATGTCAGTACCATAATGTTTTGATTATTATAACTTTGTAGTATATGTTGAAACCTGGCATTGTGATACCTCCAGGTTTGTTGTTTGTCAAGATTGCTTTAGCTATTCAGGGTCTTTTGTGGTTCCCTACAAAGTTTAGGATGCTTTGTTCTAGTTCTGTGGCAAATGCTGCTGGTGTTTCCATGGGGATTGCTTTGAATCTATAGATTGCTTTGAGTAGTTGGAACATTTTAACAGTATTCATTCTTCCAGTTTATGCTCATGGCATATCTTTCTATTTGTTTGTATTGTCTTCAGTTTCTCTCATCAGTGTGTTATAGTCTTAAGAGTATAGATCTTTCACTTCCTTGGTTAAGTTTATTCCTAGGTATTTTATTATTTTTGATGCAATTGTAAATGGAATTGTTTTCTTAATTTCACTCTCTGCTACTTTGTTATTAATGTCTAGAAATACCACAGATTTCTGTATATTAATTTTGCAACCTGCATCAGTTAACATTTTGAAGGAGCAGGTGCTCATTTGTAATGTATTGTCCATATTGCTAGGGAATTTTTAGAGTATATCAAAATGCTAACCAGGTTAACACTTTGTTTTTGCAAGTTTTCTTCAGTAGGGCTGAGTATCAAATATTTCTGTCTTAAAAAGGGGAAAACAGTAACAATAGCTGACACATATACAATCCCTTTTACCACATGCCATTATGAGAATAAATGAGTCTTTGAACAACGCAGAAGTGGAAGTAAGCTTAGAAACATATGTGGGGGTCCCTAGGTGGCTCAGTCAGTTAAGCGTCTGACTTTGGCTCAGGTCGTGATCTCAGAGCTCGTCAGTTCAAGCCCCGCATCAGGCTCTGTGCTGGCCCAGAGCCAGGAGCCTGCATCGGATTCTGTGTCTCCCTCTCTCTCTCCCCCTCCCCAACTCTTTCTTTCTCCCTCTCTCTCACTGTCTGTCTCAAAAATAAACATTAATAAAATTAAATATATATATGTTAAAAAAATAAAATTAAAAAAAGAAATATATGTGACTACCAGCTGTAAATCTCATAGAATTTGATGTGTTTGCTATTAAAGGAGATCTGATGGCATCACTTGTTGTACCTGCTCCTTATGGGGCAGGATACAGTGAGAAAAGTGTCTAAAATGTTTGGCTTCCCAGAGCCTGCTGTGAGGACACTATCTCTAGGATGTGAGGTCACTTCTCACCGAAGGGTTGGTTTGTCTTGCAACCAACACCCGTGAAGTCTCATTTTCTCTGCTGACACTGCCAATTTAAATTTATTTTATGTATGATGCAGACAGATGTCTGCAGGGAGCTGGACTGAGTCCATTAACACTTCACAGAAGGAGGCGGTTTTAATATGCAAGTGGTAGTTAGCAGTTCTGACTCTTGGTACCGGCTTTACCAACCACTTCCTGGTAAACTCGACTACTATTTGATGCACAGGACAAAAATCAAGTAATCACATAAATAAAATACACATAAGCTAAAGGTTCACAAAGGCTGAAAGAAGCATGCTCACAGCCCCCTTATTTGGTTAGAATCTACTGTTGTGTGCCAAAGTCAAAGTATAGAAAAGGAAGTGAAAATATCAGTCACACAGGTGGTTTGGGCACATGAGCGAACTCTGAGAAAGAGCTTCTCACTATTTCCTCAGGGAGGAGTGAGGCTCCCAACTGTGTTTTCCCCTGTTGTCTCCCACTATTTTAAGAAGTTTTTTGTTGTGGTTGCTTTGTTTTTGTTTTAATAATGCATTGCTGTTTCAGATTAAGTCATATAAAAGCAGAGATGTTAGTTTGCTGAGGAAAATTGGTGTTTGATTTAAAAATGTGAGGCCATAATGGTTATGTCCTAGGCTTATTAATGTTTACTTTTAATAATTTAAAAAAAGTCTGTCTTACCCTATGCAAATATGTATTTTGCAGACAGCTAAGGGAAGGATAGTTAATTTATAGCCATCAAAATATTTTCTAGATCAAAAGGACAAAATGTAAGCTGGGCTTTATATCTGAATATTATTCAGTTACAAATTATTTGACTTTGTTTTTGTTTCTCTGTATTTTTCAAAATTTCTATCATAGTGTATATAGTTTCTCTTCAGTGTAAAATAAAATAATGTCTGTTTCTTAGGTGCTTTCTGGCAACTTTGTAGGAACTTTGATCAATAAAGTTAAAGACTTGGGATGCCTGGGTTGCTCAGTCGGTTAAGCCTCCTACTTCAGCTCAGGTCATGATCTCAGGGTTCATGGGGCCCAGCTCCGCTTTGGGCTCTGTACTGACAGCTCAGATCGTGTCTCCCTCTCTCTTTGCCCTTCTTTGGGCTCTGTACTGACAGCTCAGATCGTGTCTCCCTCTCTCTTTGCCCTTCTCCCACTCATACTCTGTCTATGTCTCTCTCTCTCTCTCAAAAAATGAGCAAACATTAAAAAAAATAAAGACTAAAGCCAGGTTTTGTTTGTTTTTGGTTTTGTGTTTTTTAACCCCCAACATAGATTTCTTTTTAAAAAGTTGCTTTAGGTGAGTTCCTGTTTTGGTCTTCATTCAATCCTTTACCAATTAGCTCCTTTCACTCTAAACATTTGTCCCTCTTTTTTAATATTTTATTTTTTAATGTTTATTATTTATTTCTGAGAGAGAGAGAGAGAGAAAGACAGAGAGAGAAAACTCAAGTGGGAGGGGGGAAGCAGAGACTGAGCGTGAGTGGGGAAGGGGCAGAGAGAAAGGGAGACACCAAATCCAAAGCAGGCTCTAGGCTCTGAGCTGTCAGCAAAAAGCCCGACGTGGAGCTCGAACCCACGAACCGCGAGATCATGACCTGAGCCAAAGTCAGACACTCAACCGACTAAGCCACCCATGCGCCCCTAAGATTTTATTTTTAAGTGATCTCAACACCCAACGTGGGGCTTGCACTCACAACCCCGAGATCAAGAGTTGCATGCTCTACTGACTGAGCTAGCCAGGCACCCCACTAAACATTTCTTTTTTGTGTTTGCAGTTTCAATATTCTTTTAACGACACAGAGGGCTGCAGGAAATGCTGTGCTTCATTAGGCAGAATGGATTAAGGAAGGGAGTGTTCAAGATGTTGGCAGTGAAGAGTGTCATTGTTTGGCAAACTCCGGTGCTATTTGAGACTCAGTGATAAGACTAGCCAAAAGCTAGCGAAGATCATGAGGCTCAGGGTATCACTGCCTTGCTTTGCTGGAATAGCTTTCTCAGGAAGGTTAGTCCGATTACCTCTGTTTCCATTTCTTTTCTAAAGTTCATATCATGAAAGCCGAACTGCTGACTTCCAATAAGCTATTTTTAAGCCGGCTCTATGTTCAGAGCAGACACTGGTAAGTGTCCCAAGTGCAATATGCAAGAAAATTCCAGTAGGTGTTCAAGTCTTCGGAGTGTGCGGTTCTTTGACTCTTATGGAACATTTTCATATCCAAGTTGTGTTCTGTTTTACTCTCACAAAAACTTCTGTGAGTTGGATGGCATCCGTGTGTCACAGAGACTTAGCCAGATTCAAGACGGATAGACGGCAGTCTCAAACCCACATTTTCGGATTTCATTTCTGTTCAATGGGCTTGATTTTTTGTTTTGTTTCTTTGTTTTCCAGAGTAATCTTTCCTTGCCATATTCCTCAAAGGCCAACAAAAAACAAATGGAAGGAAGAGAGGAAAAGGGGCTTTTCTGATAAATGGCAAATTGAGAGCACTGATAGTAGGAAAATACATTTGAATTGAAAATACATTCAGCATACTTTTTTGGAAGCATTATCCGAAGGCTTTCCTATACCCTGGGAACACCTGCTTTTCATAGCCAATCTCTTTGTGGGGGAGGGTATGCCCAAGGGACATGCTGCAGCTCACCATTCAGGGGACAGTGTGATCTCAACTATTTCTGCCCTGTGGTTGGGTGATTGTGGCACCGTTCCTAGCCCTGAAAGCTGGCTGCATTTGTGGGATTTCCCTTGTGCTGCCTTACTTGGGCAGGCAATCAGTCTTAAAGATAACAAATGATCCCATCTGCTATGCATGACCATGCTTTGTGTGCCAAGTTTAAATAAGGAAGCCTTACCTGGGTAGCCACAGTGCCCAGTGAGTTGTATTCATGCCCCTCTGACATCACAGACCAAGTGTAGCTTCCAATTTGCTAGGTTCTTTTGGATGTCAGTTATCCACATCAATGAGTTTTAATAATTTGGGCCTCAGATATTTTAGAAGTCAAGTCAGTTCACTGGCTTACTGGCTAAGGACATTACTAAGACTATCAGGAAAATTCTGAGTAGTTTTCAACATGAATTGCTTACAGAGTCTTACACTTAGAGACAACTAAAATGTAAATTATATGGGTGTGTGTGTGTGTCTGTGTGTCTGGTTGTATATTCCTAACATCTGCTATAATCTCCTGTGGAACACTTAAAACCTGTATTTGTAAAACGCTCCACACTTGCTTCTGATATTCAAGGTATCTTTTCAAGAAGGGCTGTTGATTTTTCATTTGGAAGAAAAAGAAATTAAAAACAACAATGAAAGCTAAAGACATTTTAGAAGAGTTAACTCTTTACTCCTTTCCCCTGTGATACTGTCTGCATAGCAGTTATTATTGGTTATTTACTTGTTTAGTCCCACCCTTTTATCCATTGTGTATGCTCCATGAGAGCAAAAACATTCTCTCTTTGCACCAAATAAAGATTGTTGGATGTATAAAAACAACTTCTGAGAGTACCTTTATCCACCCTACTCTTTGTACATTAAAATATTAAGACTCGGCACATTTATGTGATTTAAAATTGTTCCAAACCACCATTGACTGAATCAGGATAAGAACCCAGGTCTCCTTGGACTTCCTCTTCTTTGAGTGTTAGTTACTGTCAAATGGTCACCTGCTCAAGTACATTCATCCAGCTAGTGTGTATCAATTGCCGATGTGTCAGGCACCTCAACAGGTGTTGTGATGAATACAGAAAGTACAGTAGCACTGACCTTGACTAAAGGAATTTATCTACTGAAACTACTTCCCCCAATGATTACTCCTCCAATGTGAGTAAAACCTTTGAATCTTGGAATATTCATCAATGACCCAGCAATGTGGCACAACACATTTTTGCTAAAAAGTCATGTATATTGTCCAGTATATAAATATCCCTTACCAAATTTGTCTACTCATGAGACTATGATTTAAGATATTGTTTCAGTCACTGTGGACATATAGTTAGAGAGTCTATGGATCTTCGGATGTAATTATTGGATGTGACATCTAGGTCTTGACAGCACAACATTTTTCGTCACACAATTCACTGATCCTCTAGTGATCTGAAGAAGAGGTAAGAGGGGGATTGGAACGAGTTAAGTGTTCATTTTTCGGCTTTAACCTGGGCTTGCATTTATCTGTCTGATGGCCTGAGGACTTTACTTGTTAACACAGGGCAGACAAAAATCTCATGTTGTCAGCAAAACTTTGATGGTATCAAAATAAATGAGTCATGTAATTTCAGCTTTTGAAGGTGGGGTTTGAGAAACCAGAAAGGAGGCTTTCCCGACTGACAGGGAGCAAGACGGTAGCAGCCTAGCGGCTATAAACAGAGGCTCCCTGGCCCCACACACGGTCACCTGTGCATGCACACAGTTGCTGTGCATACCGCCACGGTGCCTAAGTCTGGTGCACTAATGTAAAGGAAGAATTTTTTTTTTTTTCCTGGACAATATTCAGAAGCACTATGAACAAACTTCTCTATCACGTTCCCTGCATGCAGTCTCGGGCAGATCACAGATTTCAAGAGGATAGTTGCTGGACAGTTTCATTGCTCAGGGCTAATTATTCATCTGAGAATCCACCCAAGAAAGTTGCTAAGCTGGTTTGCTGGCCTTTTGGTGGAGACTTTTAAAGAGACATTGCCACATTTGAATAAAGAATTTTGTTTCATGTAAAGGTTATGCATAGAGAGCACAGTGAAAAGGCAGGTGCCAATGGCAGAGTAAATGGGACTTTTCTTAATTTCTACCCTTGAAAATTATATTTAAAATTGAACTGAACTGTTCATAAAACATCCTGCTCAAAAGGAAGATTTAAAATCCTTTATATGTAGCATTTTCAGGCTATGAATAAGTGGAGGTAAGTTGGAAATATGCCATATATTGCTATGGGAAAATCATGATAAAATATTTCTCAGTACGGTCGGCTTAGAGACTACATGAATGTGCACACACCCAAACACCAAAGAGGATCTTTCTTATATGGTAAAAAACAAAGAATATACATACTTGATTCCTTAACTGTTATTAATTTTTGAGTGAAATTTCCTTACGTAAAAAAGAACAAATCCTTTTACAACCACTATTTTCACATAGTTTTCTGGAAACTTTGATTTGGCAGAAATTCTGTGCTCTCTTGTCTTCCCCAAATCTTAAAGGGGCAGATAGAATTTAAAAAGAAAAATACGACAAAGTTAATAATCTGACGTGATTTAAAGACTGAGCTTATTAGTCTCTGTCCAACAGGATTGGGTGTTTTCTCTCTATGACTTGGGGTCTTCTTTATCTGTACCCAGAGTGCAGCACAGTGCCCAAGCCGGGTGTCCAGTGAATGCTTTTTTTTTTTATTAAAAAATTTTTTTAACGTTTATTTATTTTTGAGACAGAGAGAGACAGATCATGAACAGGGGAGGGGCAGAGAGAGAGGGAGACACAGAATCTGAAACAGGCTCCCGGCTCTGAGCTGTCAGCACAGAGCCCGACGCGGGGCTCTAACTCATGGACTGTGAGATCATGACCTGAGCCAAAGTCGGATGCTTAACCAACCGAGCCACCCAGGCGCCCCCAGTGAATGTTTTTTGTTTTTTATTGTTTTTTTTTTTTAAAGTTTTTTTTTTTTCAACGTTTATTTATTTTGGGGACAGAGAGAGACAGAGCATGAATGGGGGAGGGGCAGAGAGAGAGGGAGACACAGAATCGGAAACAGGCTCCAGGCTCTGAGCCATCAGCCCAGAGCCTGACTCGGGGCCCGAACTCACGGACCTCGAGATCGTGACCTGGCTGAAGTCGGACGCTTAACCGACTGCACCACCCAGGCGCCCCCCAGTGAATGTTTTTTTGAATGAATTGCTAACTACATCTAAAGCTCTTTTCTATTTTATTATATTTTTAAATTAAAAACAATTTTTTAAATGTTTATTTATTTTTGGGAGACAGAGAGACAGAGTGCAAGCAGGGGAGGGCCAGAGAGAGAGAGGGAGACACAGAATCCGAAGCAGGCTCCAGGCTCTGAGCTGTCAGCACAGAGCCCAACGCGGGGCTCGAACCCTCGAAGCGCGGGATCATGACCTGGGTCGATGTTGGAAGCTTAACTGACTTAAGCCACCCAGGTGCCCTTTTCTGTTTTAATGAAGCACATCTTGAGTGGATTTAGTGCATGATTATCTCTGTATGTTTCTATTTATAATATGTGTTTTGCAAAAACCCATTCTACTGAATACAGCTGTAAGGCCTCTGATTTGAGTGATCTCCTGAGGACTTCCACACTTTACAACACTGCCAATTTGCGATTCGGGTATGTAAAAAAAATTAATTTAACATGTTTAAATATTATCATAGACTTAAGTAAGAGGGAAAATAACATTTATTAGTAATCCAGTATGTCCAGTCACTACTTTGCATAAATATTGTCATCTTTAATTGTCACAACAAGCCTATCAGGTATTATTCTGCTCATTTTATAGAGATAAAGAAACTGAGGTTCAGAGAAGCTCTCTAGTGAGTAAATGGGAGGAAAGACAGGTTTCAAGCTTAGATCTGACAGTATCCTTTATACATACCTATTAAGATTTGTAGTCATTCATATCTTAGAATGAATTATTTTTATTCTGATGTATTTTCTGCTGAATATAACATATCAGTCTTCCTGAGAAAGGGGAGGCTTAAGGAAAAGGAAGAGGGGGTGGGTGGACAGTTTTAAAGAAGGAGGTAAGAGTAGAAATTGGGGGTACTTTGGGGATGCTGTAGAAACGGAGCATGAGGTTTATAGGTGATTAATGTGTTTGTGCTTTCATTGAGGTTAAGGAGGGTATCTTGTGGGAAAGAAAGGAAAAACTAAAGGACAACAAGGATGGTAAAAGCATTCTCTTAGAATTTTGACACATTTAGTCTTAATGATAGAAAAGAAGCAGCATATCTTTAAATAGTTAAGTGATGCTGAATACATCCTTATTTGGGAAATGCTAATTTTTATAGGTTAGAGAAGTACATCTTTACTTCTTTAAATCTCATTTCATCTCTCTTTTCTTTAGTTAGGGCTTACCTAAATAAACAATGATTAAGAATAATATGAGTGGGGGCACCTGAGTGTTTCAGTCAAGCATTCAACTCTTGATTTCAGATCAGATCATGATCTCAGAGTAGTGAGATGGAGCCTCACGTTGGGTTCTGTGCTGGCTGTGGAGCCTGCTTGAGATTCTCTCTCTCCTTCTCCCTCTGCGCGCCCCCCCCCCCCCCCCCCAGCTTGCATGCTGGCTCTCTCTCTCTCTCTCTCTCTTTCTCTCTCAAAAAAGAAAAAAAAGAATAATGTGAGTGGTGGGGTGACTGGCTGGCTCAGTCAGAAGAGCATGTAACTCTTGATTGTGAGTTCGAGACCCATGTTGGGTGTAAAGATTACCTAAATAAATAAATAAACTAAAAAAAAAGAATAATATGAATGGCAAAAATGTTCAGTTTGCAGAAAAAGATTGGCATTTTCCCTGCATGAGGCCAAGGGCAAGCTGGAGCCCTTCCTCTTTAATCTGGAACTTGAGTTTTGGACATAACAAAGGCAGTTTCACCCCTTCATGCAGTAGGTCCTTGGGCATAATGCCTAGATCTCTTTTGTGCACTTCTGTTCATGAAGAAGCCATTTTAATTGTCCCTCACTACTCAATAAGTTCTGTTCTGTTTCTGCAAAACAGTTCATAATATAATAACTAAATGTATATGCCAAATGATAACAAATTAGGCTCTTTTCTTACAACTTTTACTCAAGAAGCCCAAGTATTAATATTCCCAAAGAATAGGTATATTTGAAAACAGCCTATCAATGGTTATGAACATTAGTGGTTAAGGATATCGGTGGTTGAGAACCCTGAAAGAAGAGCTTGCCTATTCAAATAAGGCTCTACCCCTTACTGGTTGTAGTCAGTCACTCAATATATCCAAGTTTCAAGTACCTCATGTAGAATGTGGGGTAATGAGTTTACCAAACTCATGAGATGGTTGAAAAGATTAAAGAGGATAAGCCATGTAATATGCTCAGTTCAGTGCTTACATGTAGTAATCTCTCTGTAAATATTAACATTTTCCCCCTAGAAGTGAATTTTGAGATTCCAACTGATCTTCAGTTCATATTCTAGTTAATTCTCCTAGGTAAGAGGTCTTTTGCGTTTCCATTTCTTGTTTCTTTAGTCCAGAGTTTAACCCAAGACCTATACAAACTAGGACAAATCTGACAACAGAACATGAAGAGTTAAGTTTGGAAATAAGTAAGTCTAGCAAATTGAAATCAATTTCCAACCTTATGTGCTTCTGGAAATGTGCTTGCTTGCTCTGTCGATTTTCAGGAACAGAGAGAGAATAGAACAAATTTTGCCTATGGACTTAGGCTCAGATTTACTTCATCCCAAATGATTGAAGATTGGAAAATTCTAATAAAAGGAGGAACTTACCCTCCAGAGAATTAACACTCAGAGGTATTGCAGTTGGCCTTAATATAGACTCCTGTTAATAAAACATGTATGAGTTTTTGAATACACAGGAAATATGAAAACCTCCCTCCCATATTTACTCTTCTAAAATATGCCAGAAAGTTCTTTGGACTGGAACCCTCACACTTACACCCCTGGCATGAGAAGGTCTGCCCCCAAAAGGAGGGAAACTATAGACACATCTTTGTGCTCACCTGAAGATCTCATAATCTCTAGTCAAACCTGTAGGTCATTCACAGTCCTGCCAAATGCTAAGTGCGCCTGATGCTACACTGCCCATGCCATTTAAATGGAGTATTTACAGGTCTTAACCAACTGTTAAAAAATTTTTAATGGGATGGTTTTGTCATAAGATGCCAAGTATATTATTTCAAGTGCCGCTGCTAGATTGGAATTTAATGTCTTATTTATTTTTGCAGCCTCTCTTTAATTGTCATGTGTATTATTCATGTATGCTTCTTTGCTTACACGCTCATGCCATGGTGATCCTCCTGTCATTTACTACAACACATTGCCATTTGCACTAATGGCACTAAGTAAGAAGAAGTCAAATCCAAAAGCCTTTACTAGATAACATTGGATCCCAAT